GAATATGAAATAATTTTTGCTGCGCCACAAATCTAGCACACAAGTAATGCAATCAATATCGATGATGATTCATCACGCCAATTGCGCACACCGAAAATGTGTACGTACGTACGTACGTACAAGGTTGGCGGCGCAGCTCTCCTGTACTACGAATCAGATTTCAAAATTAGGTGTAATGTAACACGATCTGAAAGATTCAAAACAAACGTTCGTTTTGCCAGAAATCGCTCATATCTCAAACATTAGCATAAGAAACCAACTTTTGTTCTCTAACAAAAAGTTTTCGTTAGGCAATTTTACCATATAAACTATCCATTTCTAGATCCTAACCCCGACCCTAACCCTAACCTTAACGAATTTTAAGATTTTTGTCTGCGCCGCCAACCTTGTACACATTTTCGGTATGCGCAAATTGCATCATATGACCTCATATCTCGCGCGAAGCAAATTTTTAACTAAGAAAATCCTTACGGTAAATGATTTTATCAAGTACAAAATAGATTAGAGCTATCACTGAAATCTATAATCCTTTGTACTAAAAATTTGACCTTGGATGAAGACACTTCTCACTATTTCATATAATTTGTGGAATGTATGCTAGATTTAATTCGCACGATATATCTCTAGATTCTACTTTCTAACCCCTAAAGGAAATTTCATATAAAAATAAAGTGTATGAAGATAAAATTTAAGGTTAAGGCGTTAATGTTAAAATATATAGAAATGAATCATTACTTATTATCATTGGTGAGCCAGGATCAATTTAAACATTAAATTTTCAGGAATTCTTTTGCACGTGTTTAGGTTCTATGTCAAAATAATCAAAAATTGAATACAACTGATTGAGTTTTCCTTTTAAAGAAACAATGCCAAATCCAAATTTAGTAATATAAATCTTGATTTGGTTCGATCAAAATTAACCTGAATTCCGATTCTAATTTTTCTTTTTTTAGATTAATTTGAACTATATCTGATATCGATATAAGGTATATATTTAGCTAGCAGTAAAGATAAACTAGATTAGCATTAGTGTTGAGACATCTGATTATCAATTTATCATCATTTTATCATGTTTAGCAATCATAAATAAATAAGAATACATGAACATGAACCAAGATTGAATTATTTAGTATTAATGAAGACTAAAAATATACGCATACACGGTACGTGCGTACTGATACGTGCCAAAAGAAGCATGGCATCTGCGTAATCAGACTTAAAATTTGGTCACAAGGAATTTGAATTTAGATTTTGGTTCGTGATGTATCAACTTTTTATTTCATTTTCTGATAAATTTGAAATGATGATTTTTGTCGCTGAAAAGCCTATTTATTTCGTTAAATGGGGATCTCCGGACTAGGGATAGGAATCGGCTATATGATTTAGTCGACTAAATCGACTAAACATAGTAATTTACATATAAATTTTTTAGTCGACTAAATCGATTCCTATCCCTACTCCAGACACTCCCATTTCATGTTCCGATTTTAAAATTTTTGAAATACAAACAAGATTTTTCAAACTTTAATTTCAAAATGTGCCACTCATTTGTTAACTTTGAAACCCCCTATTGTCAATTTTTAAATTGTCAAAATTAGATTGCCAAACGATTCTTCGGTTAGTAGAGGCACGGTTTTTATATCGAAATATAAAATCATTTTAACTTATCAAGCGCTGCATTTAATAGAAGCGTTTGAAACGAAAAGTTATGATAAAATTAGAATTATCGTTAGTACTACTATAACTACTATAGGGGTTACTTTAGAAGAAGCTTTATTTTATTTATTTGTCATAATCCGGTATCAAGCAGGTAAGTCACATCTTTGACTGAAACAAATAGGGAAGGTCTTTAGCTGGTTTTAGATACTTGTAAGATATTTGGCGCCAAATCATTTAAATTCAGTTTTGTATATAAGCACCAATTATTTCAGAGTAAAAAAATAGGGTTGAGTACAATAATGTTATAATGTTTGCAATGACATGAGCATAGTACCCTTTCAAGAGCCCTAGTATGTGCGTGCGTACGTGCGCAGATCTTTTGTAGTTTTTCCGGCGATCACACAAATTGCGAAACTCCGAGATACCAAGATAATCTGCATAGAATATACCAAAATAATCGAAACTCATTTAATGTTAGACTGTATTTGTCATAAAGATTATATCATTCGCAGTTAGAGTTTCTATTTTGTTATCACACATGACAGTGTTTTTTGTCAGCCATCTTTTTTAAGCTCAATCTAATTTATCCGTTAACATAAATGCTTTATTCTTGACGATATATGCAACTGTCCCTTTTTTTTAGGTGACCTCATTCTGTAAATTGTTCAAATTTTATAAATACACATCTTTTAGTATTGGTTGCAACTTGGTGTTAGTCTCAAAATACTGACACCTCAACATTTAAACAAAAAGAATTAATACTCTCCTCCATCCTTTTTTGAAAATTTTTGAATACGTCGATTCTTTAAAAAAAAATCTTTGAATAAAATATTGTAATTTGCATGCCAAAAAAACAAAAAGAAAGAACAAGGGTAACCCAAGCATGTATAACATGCCAGGACAAAAAATCTAAATGTTCCGGACACAACGGACCAAAACCGTGTGTCAATTGTAACAAACGCGGTTTTAAATGCGTCTTTGACGCAATTATACCTCGAAGAGGTCCCGGCAGTAAAAAAAATGTGAACCTACAAAAGGATGGAGGAGACAATGTCTCACCATCAAATTCGGACTGTAAATTTTATTTCTTTTTACTGTTTAAATAAATAAATTACACAAAATAATATTAACCTCATTCCATAATGTCAGACGGTCCGCTGGTTTTTGATCCATCATCTCATTCATCGTCACCACCATCTCATTCATCGTCACCACCATCTCATTCATCGTCACCACCATCGTCTTCAATGCAGTTTTTGTGGTCTCCATCGACATTGCCATTATCTCCACCATTACCATTATCTCCACCATTGCTATTATCTCCACCAATGCAATTATCTCAAACTGAATATATAAATGACGATAAATATATATTAACCACTCAATCAGAAAATGATTTTTGTTTAACATCAGATACCGACTTTTTATCCTTTTTATTAGACCCTCAATACTTTCAATAATAAGTCTCAGCAGAGGTAATAACATTTTAATCTCATATTATGAATCAATTAACCTTTAATTAACAATGCTTATTATTATTATTTTGACAGACAACTTTTTCTCTTTTTTTATTCTTTTATTTTATTTTATTTTGTTTTTTTTTGAAAAACAACAATTGAACATAATAACATTTTTGCTAATGCAAATGTTAATGTTATTATGTTCAATATTCATTATCTAACTACTCGGTCCGGTAGCTATTATTTTTGCGAACCATAAGAGCCGAAACAGCTAAGATCACAGAGCAAGCTGTAAGAAAGATCATTTTAAAAAGCTCCAGATCAGAAATTTAAATTAAAAAAGTTTTTCTTTTTTAGTTTAGGAAACCAACTTTTTTTTTTTTTATTAATTTTGATGGAGCAACCATCAGAAATTTAAATTAAAAAAGTTTTTCTTTTTTAGTTTAGGAAACCAACTTTTTTTTTTTTTTTATTAATTTTGATGGAGCAACCATCAAAATTAAGTTTTTTTTTTTTAAATAACCATAACCTTTTTTTTTTCTTTTTATTACTATATACGAGGTTTTTATACAGAATTGTGAGTTGCAATTTAAATTTATATCTTTTATTTATATCATTTGTTTTATTTATATCATAATAATAAAATTATTTGAAGAAAATTTATTCTAAGAAAAACATTAGCAAGATGTATGCTATTATATTGTCTAAAAATGAATTGATGCAGAAGAAATTGCTAGTTATATACAAGCCTAGGAAATAATAACACTATTATTCACAAATATAAATATCCAATTTAAAGTAATATCAACTGGTACTCTAAATGTAGATAAATTTGTTACCAGGTAAACTACCTATGATAATTATTTCATTTACCGTAAATTCTCGAAATAGCGGCATGGGCGTTATTTCAAAAATCGCGCCCCTAAAAATAGCATATGTGGATTCAAAATAATGCCCGAAATAACGTGCACCTCACTATTATATATTTTGAAAAAACCGGATTCAAAAATAGGCAAGTTAAAGAGTCCGTTCGGTCCGATCCAGGTCCGGTTATTAAAAGTCCGGGTATAACCCAGCAGTTTGATATACAATATAGATAATTTTGAAGGCGAAATGCCAAAAGTATTCATGACTCACTTTTATCTGGACTGGTTTCGGACCGGTCTTAAAAAGTTTGGACCTTGACCTTGTCCGAATCAGTCCTTTGTGGACTACTCAACATTCCTATTCAGAAAATCTGCTGATATAACCGAAATAATGCCCATGGGCGTATTCGAAATAACGCGTAGGTTTCGCGTAGTTCGAGAATTTACGTTACACAATATTTATACCGGTCCTATTGTTTTCATCATTAAAGGACTATCAAATATAGTCGATGTTTACGATTTCTTCAGTTCAATATGTTAGTAAATTCCATGTGCATGTCGTGCCTGAAGTTGACACCAGACTAAAGTTGGAACTTCAGGTGCCTGAAGTCACACCTGACTGAAATTAGCCTCTGAAATTAGATCATCCTGCACGCACTAGCTAGCGGTTTTAGGCAGGTGCCAGATGCCAACTTTAGGCACGACATGATAATTTGTTACAATAGTACACTTATCGTATAATGAATGATCTTAATGGGTCTAATACTGTAATTTCCTTTATTAATAAAAAAATAAATCTTAGAGATAAAATTTTTGCTTATAAATATATGTCATGGTGGATTTGGAGTAACATAAACATGGCGATTTCCATCTTCTTCGATAACGACATTCTAAACCTGCTTTAGCTGAATTATTTTCGCCTGTATCGTATAATGAATGATCTTAATGGGTCTAATAATTTCCTTTATTAATAAAAAAATAAATCTTAGAAATAAAATTTTTGCTTATAAATATGTCATGGTGGATTTGGAGTAACATAAACATGGCGATCTCCATCTTCTTCGATAACGACATTCTCAAATTCTTCATAAACCTCTTCAGGTTCTAAACCTGCTTTAGCTGAATTATTTTCTCCTGTATCTTTAATGTCATAAGTGTCATCAACTTCGTTATCTGTCGTTTCTTTAATCGTAATAGTTTCATCTAAGTTGACATCAACTTTGTTATCTGCTGTTTCTTTAACCGTAATAGTTTCATCTAAGTTGACATCAACTTTGTTATCTGCCGTTTCTTTAACCGTAATAGTTTCATCAAAGTTGCTAGATTCACTTTTGCTAGTTTCGCTTTTAATAGTTAATTGGTCAACAATTTTAATAACTTGATCTTCTTTTTTCTTTTGATCTGGTATGACTATAGTGGTGCTTGCTGTATAATTTTGTTGACATAAGGATTGAATAGTGGTTGCCCTCGACAACGTTACACGTTTCCCAATTTTAATTACCGGGACGGAAATCCCATGGCAAAAGACTGAAGTAAGAACTATGAAATAAACAACTGTAGAAAAAAAAAATTTTTTTTTTTTTAATATCAAGGTATCACATATATTATTGCAAATATAAAAAATTTCTAATTACCCGGAGTAACAAGTTTCTGGACATTTTCACTGCCATCTTGTTTGGCAAGTGCAGCGTAAAATACGGCACCTATTCCAATTGGCCCAAACCAGCCAGCATACAGACCTAAAATAAAATTAATTATAGATTTAATATTTATATATTTAACAAAATCATTGTATTTTAACAAAAAAAAACAACCTTCTTCGAAATTTTTCAAAGGAGTAATGTTTTTCATTAACATTAACACAATGGGAAGGCGTCTAAACAAAAGAATAAGAATTGAAACGACAAACAATCGCCAGTATGATAGTCCCAATTCACTATTATTAAACAATGACCATGGCATAATCGCACCAATATAAATAAAAATAGATAAATTTAAAAGCACGTCAATAATTTCTTGAAAATGTGAATCTTGCGTCTCTGTTCGGAACCAATCGCTAAGTGAATAAGTAGTAAAAGCAGAGTAAAAAGGATAAATACGCATGTATATATTATTAAAAAGGATAAATACGCGTGTATATATGATTAAAAAAACAATAAATATATATATATATACAAAGCATTTGATAAATACATACTCCCATGTAAAAGAGTTTCCGGCGATAAAACAGGCCAACAATTCATCACTTCCAAGGAGTGAAACAGATCCCATGATGAACAACTAAGATATTCAACAAAGATGAAATTAATTAAAATTATTAAAATTAAAATCATGGACAATATATACTTAAGAGGTCGGTATACCGCCAATACAACTGCAAAGGTTAAAAACATCTCCTTATCAATCAGATTTCTAAAAAATCGAAATAAAATGTGAGCAGCGAAAGAGGGAATTATATTTAATTCATCAGGGTTGAATAAAATATGCCTAACTTATCCACAGCCCAACGCAACGATTTACGCGCAAAATAACCTTATTTAATTGAAATTTTTTAAGAATATGATTTAACAGAGGAAAGTTCAATAGAGAAAATATATAGATATAACATACCAATCACAAATCCAATTACAATGCTTAACATAACCTGATAACAGATGACGACCAGAAACCATTTTCCGACTGCTTCTCCGGGGAGCATTTTGGAAAGGTAAACCGCGATATAAAAAAATGGAAGTCCCAAACCTGAAAATCATTAAAAATAATTTGTTTATTGATTTACTTTTTGAGGCTTTGGAAAATAAAACTCATACATTACCATCGTTCGCACCACTTTATAATAAAGAAGATTAGAATTTTTGATGTACAAATTTAAAATAACTAGTTTTACCTTTCAGCGGAAATAAGATCACGAAGACCAATTGATATATATTTTTGTGCAAATCTTCCTTTAATCATAGAATTCGACAATATCTGCACATGCACAAAAATTAATAAGTTGAAATGGTATATTATATGAAATAATTTAAGTTTTAACCTACCGGGTCTGTTGGAGCGATGCATGATGCAATCATCAAAGATTCCAACTAAAATATATATATATATATTATTATTATATATATACTGTATAATAACATGGCGCAATAAAATTCTTATACTTGCAAATGAAATGGATGGAATCAACCACCAAATGGCGAGTGCGCTGATCATCCACATCCAACTCATTACTGGAATAAGGAGAAGTAGCATTGATTTAAGTTCATTCCAAAGATACGCCCTGAACAAATAATCATAAACCATAATAATAATAACATTGTAATATCAAGAAAAGCTAACAAACAACAAAAACTTTGATTCAACAGGCTTGGACATTCACTTTGGTAATGCGATCCCGCACGCCATGACCTGTCAAAAGAAATATAAATTTTATATTTATAATAATAATGAATCGAAAACTTATAAACTATATACCTGAATTGCGATAACGAATCGAGCAAATTCCTTAGTTATCAAATCGATATTGCCACCCCATTCTTGGGGAACAACGACCTTTAAACCGATTGGACCAAGAAAGATACCAACAGCAACACATACGACTATAAACAAATCAATTAACAAGAAAATATTTACAGGGCGAATATCAACCAACAGTACAAATCATTCATATCGAACTTACGAGGTTCAGAAAGATATAATCTAATTAAAAATTTTTTATAATATTTATTTATGATCATATAAAAATGCGACTAATCGAAACCGTAGATGACATATCTTACTTTTCTTTAACGAACGAAGAGACGAGACTGAACACGACAACAAAAAAACTTAAGATTGTGATGAGTATATAAAACTCGTCGATATGGAACAATTCCATGGTCGAATTTATCATTATTTAATTTGATTATTCGTAGCTTAGATATAAGTAAAAAAAAATAAAACTAGAGAGCGTAGTTTCGGAATTGGGAAGTTGGTAACAAACCACCATATTTATAGATGCCAACTTATAAAACCTTAACCAAAAATAGGGAATGATCATAATTACCAAATTTACCAAATTCACATTATTATTCTCCTACGGATAAAATATATATATTGTACGTACGTAATCAAACCTTTTTTTGTTGTACGTACTTTTATAAACATAGATAATGTGCATTTTAGCCACAAAATTTAAAGTTTATACGTAGATTTGAAGATTTGAACAAAGATTTGTGCTTTAAACGTTAATAGAAAATTTATACGTAATTGTACACGTATTAGCGTTAGTTTGCAAATATGTGTAACTTGCCAATCAAAACAATATTTTTAACAAAAATTAAACCCCTACCAATAGTTGGGATAAAGGTGTGCTTTGGATTTACTGCCGTTTTCAAAAAGGTGTGAACAACGAATCGAAGAATTGGTAAATTACCGGTATCATTAGTAAAAATTGAAGATCCGATTAGAGCTGGCTTTGAAAGTTGTGGTAATTTCTTGAATTTCCCGTGATATAGTTATTTGCAGTGTTGTACGTTTTGACTGTCCAAAGGCTTTTTTAGTACTGTCCAACGTCCAAGTGTCCAAGTGTCCACAAGTGTCCAAAGCATGTTTAAGCTCTAATAATTAATAAATTTGTTTAAAAAATATATGATTATATATTTTTTTATATACTGAACATATTTTACTTAGAAATTAATATAGATTATCTTAATAAAATTTTGAGTAATTTTAATTTATTTAATTGTCCAAAATTGTTCAAAGTGTCCAAACTTACTGTCCACAACTGTCCCGTGACAACACTGGTTATTTGCGTCTGTTCACACCTTTTTGAAAACAGCTATAAACAAGTTATAGTTTATACCAAAATTTCGCAAGGAATTTTTTTTGCTAGAAGCCAAAGGAACCAAAAAAGATCGAAATTTTGATATTATAATGTTTAAGTTACACCTGATCGTGCAATTTATATAGGAATTTTTCTTCTTTTATTCTAATTCGCATGTTTCCGGTTAGAAAATTCTTTTTAGAGTGAATGACAAAATTGTGATGTTTATTATCAAATATTTTTCACCGAGATTCACTTTGACATTAGCTTCTAATTCGCGTATTTCTGATTAGAATTTTCTTTTTAGAGTGAATGAAAAATAGCAACTGTTTACTATCAAATATTTTTCACCGAGATTTACTTTGAGATTAGTAATAGAAATGTCCTAATTAATCATTGTCGTAACTTCAAAAAGTAGTTTATACGAAATTACTATATGTTTTTTTTTTTTTTTTTTTTTTTATTCTAATTCACATATTTCCGATTAGAAAATTTTTTTAGAGTGAATGAAAAATCGCGATTGTTTACTATCACGGAGATTTACTTTGGGATTTGTAAATAAAAATGTCCTAATATGCCCTAATTAATCATCGCCGTATCTTCAAAACGTAATGTATACGAAATTACTATATGAATTTTTTTTTTTTTTTTTAATTCTAATTCGCATATTTCTGATTAGAAATTTCTTTTTAGAGTGAATGAAAAATCGCGATTGTTTACTATCAAATATTTTTCACTGAGATTCACTTTGACTAACGTGGACCATTCCATATAAAGAAGATAGTTACACTATTAATAAAATTTTTATACAGTTTACAATATTTCAATAAAAAACCGCAACTTAGCTAAATTTCGCTTCTCGGACAAAAAAGGAATCCAAGTGATTCAATAGAGATAAAAACAAAGATTTAATAACTTCCAATACATTTAAATTCGCCGCAATAACTTCCAATCCATTTAAAATCGCCGCAATAACTTCCAAACCATTTAAATTCGCCGATCAACATGGGACGTTATCTGACTTTTGTCACACAAGTGCAATTTTCCGGATTATTTTAACTGGATATATATATATCGGAAAATTTCGGAAGGTCTAACTAGCTAATGTCCAATGATCCGATACTTTCCAGCAGAAAGTTCTAATGTTCAATGATCCCGAAAGTTTTTCCAGCAGAAAGTTCTAATGTACAATAATCCGAAAGTTTCCGGCGGGTTCAAATATTTATTCATAAATAATCGTTCTTTCACAAGTACAAGCTACAGGAACCAGTTAGGGAAAGTATCATTTACGAATCATTTAAATTCCAGAATTCTATTCAAATTGAAATGAGATTCGACCGTTTTAATTTCTAGTTATGGTAACTTTAATAATATATCGCTATTTATCTAGGTGGGGTGGGTATAGTAGAGGCTGGAACGGTTTTACTTATACAGAAACGAGTTGAGAATCTGAATATTTTGTTGTTAAGAAATATCTAATCACTGTAGCACTGCTAATAACATCAATTTAAAATACCAGTTTCTAGAATAAAACTGTTCAGCCTCATAAAATAAATATATCAAAAAAGGCAAATTTCTATGAAGATTTTGCAGCCGCAGTTGCCATAAACAATTATAGAAAGACTTTTATTTGATTGGCTAATTTATGTCGATTTATACGTGACGATTAGAGTTAGAACCTGGGTTATTCGGGTGGTAAATGAAATTCTGCAGAGATCTATACCATGTAATCATTAGTTAAAGTAGATTTTGATTTCTGCGACGTTTAAATATAATTTTTGTACTCAACAACTAATTAACACGAATAAATTGTAGACATTTATGAGGTTGAGTAGCTTATCCAAATCAATTATTATAAAACGCACCTATGGTGTTTTGCACCTGTTATATGTTTTTTTTTTTTAATTTTTATATAAAATTTTTAGCACAAATTTTTTTGCATTAAAGTTAGTACTTGCAGTTAGATTTAGGGTTTGGGAAGGGTTTTGGGGGGCATAGAACATTTTTACTTAGAACACCTCACACCGATTAATTAGCCAGTTTTTGAGATAATACATAC